GGGAGGGGAGAGGGGGGTGTGGGACTGACTGTTGCCTGCTAGCTGGAGACACTGCTGTTTGATTCAATATTAATGTAGTTTGAGTCACAATGGGGGACTGAGTGACTGTTGCACAAAAGTAAGCATTTTGTGAACGTGTGTGTGTGTACACGTGTGTGTGTGTGTGTGTGTGAAAAAGAGAAAAGAAGAAGGTTCAAAAGAAAACAACAGCATACATGGAGGGCTAATACAAATTGTTTGCATTTGTGTGTGCGCGCACGCTCGTGCCTGTGTGTGTGCAAGAATATATAAGAACAAAAGAGAAGAGCTGAGACGGAGGGAGGGGGATGGAGGGGGGGGGTTGGTAAGTAAAGGAGAAAGAGATATTGACTGACTTTGCTGTAGGAATTGGGGGTCTCTGTAGGGACTGAGGTCAGAATTCCCCCCTCCCCAGCAGGTCTACAGTCTGCTACTTCAAACAGAGCCTACAGGAGCCCCTTTTATTGAGCTCTGAGAGTGTATTTATAACCCGTTCTCTTCTCTCTTCCCAAACACAAACACTCCAGAGGTGCATGTATCGGCTGCTAGGAGCCCTTTCCCATACACACAGCAGTTTTCTCCATTATTGTAAGCGGTGAATTAATAGTTAATAGGATTTGGTGACGGGTGAGTTTGTTGGTGATGAGGGGCAGACAGGCTGTGGGTAAAACAGCGGAGGAGGGGAGGGGGGAGGGGGGGGGGGGGGGGGGGGGGGGGGGCTGAACAGTGAAAGGTTAAGGCACCACCTCTGCAGCCACATATTCCCCTGCTGGCTGAGGATCGAATCCTACCAGAACACACTGTGTGTCCCTCTCAGCATCCCTACCGCCTCAATAAAATGAGAGCAAATTGGAGAGCCAGAGGAGGAGAAAGATGCCATCCCTGTGGGGTCTCCACCTGCTGCCGCTTGTATTGTCTCATACTTTCATACTTGCATTCAATAATGTCTCACTCCCACGCTGTCTGTGTTTGTGAGTCTTGATGCATGTAAGGACAATTTTTTTCCCTCCTTCTTCTTTTGTTTATGTGTGTGCGTGCATCAGAGTGTATGTTTGGGGGAAGGTTGTGATAATGCTGAAGTGGCTGGAGCCAAGCAGTGGCACTGTGTGTCTAATTACAGCGGAACAGAGTCCATTGATCAGCCATTGCAGTCCAATCTGTTTACCACAGATGTCTAACCTGCACACAGGCCCATCCATCATATTCATATTTCACATCAACATTGCTGCTATGTATGTATACAGTGAATGCATCACATCCTAACATCAGAGAGGAGAGGCTCACTCGTACCTACGTACGTCCACAGCCTTGTATTATCATCGTATTCAGTGCTGTGATTTATTACAGAATTAAGGCCGGTTATGACTGTGAGCCGGAGGAGAATGATGTCATTTTATGGTTTGGTGAAATTATTCACAGTGTCAGAGTGAGTTAAGTCTCCGCAGGTCAGATGTTACAGGACAAGTAGGACACGCCATTATGGCTGCAAGAAATCACAAAGCTTTTTAGAGGACAAATGTGGACATTAATGAGATCAGAGCGCCACCTTGTCCTTCTCCCAAACAAAGTTGCTCCACCTGCCACTATGACAGGAGAGACACCTTTAAAGCCCTTCAGTCCATGTGTGGTGTTGAACCTATAACCAGCAGCCGAGCTAAATATCACTGAGTAATTCCACGGACTTACACCCACGGGCTGACTGTTATGATGGATTTAGAGGCAAATTGATTCATTTGACAGTCATCAATATAACAAGGGCCTTACTGTGAATACATCCAGCAGTTAGTCAACATCCAGGAGTTGTTCTCTTATTTATATGGTAAAAACAAATAAGCAGCCGGAAATGAAGTTCCTTTAAGGTGTTCTTTCTTAAAAGACAAGAAATAAATAAATAAATGAAATTAAGCTCATTTCAAACGTGGAGCAGAACCTCAGTGGTTTTGATTTGATTTCGTTCCATTCCATGTGTTTTTGGAAAAGACAACTGAAGCTGGGGAACCCTAACCACCAACATTTGACTTTTTGGTTGCTTTATTTTTTGTTCTTACAGTTATGTCAGTGATGTGTCCATATGGATAATAATCACAGTAATAACAGTAATAATAAGAGGCATCATGTTAATATGAAGCAGCTCCAAATGTGCAGCCCTGAACGGTTGAAATATTCCACATCCCCAATCAAAACACAAATGTTTGACCTTTTCAAAGGTTCCGTTGAACAAAGATGGTCTTCAGGACCGTCAGTGGATTAGTGCTCACTGTGAAACTGCTCAGCAAAGACATGTCATTCTCTCTGAGCGCACAGGAGGATTGTGTCCCAGCAGGACAGAGACTGAGACATGGACTGAAGCTGCTGAGGCCTAACGGACCTGCGTCTACATTAAGAAAAGCTAAATGCGTTATTTATCTATATAAAAAGTCGAAGTGAAGCGGTTTGTGGTGTGTGTGACCGTTAGAATCCACATCCTGTGGTCACGTTTAAAGATTCGAAATTTGCTGCCTATATTATAAATTTATCCAATTAACGTTAAAACGTTGAAACGTTTAAAACCGCGGGGTTTTTTTTGTTTGTTTGTTTATTTTTTAATATACCAAAAATGATGTTTTGTTTTTAAAATCGAAAAAACGACCAATTCAACTTAGGCGGAATTTTTGATAATCTGAAATAAAAATCCAGAAAGTTTAAAGTTTAAATTGTAGAAAATAGCTAGGATATACTGCAACGTGAACCATTTTATTGCAGACTCCACATGTAGGAGCTACGAGCGTCCGTCTTTCCACACAGATCACGGAGCCTACTTCTCTGAGCCTCGGTGAGTCACGTCCACAACCTCATCGACTGCGTGCTCTGTGCCGTTTCGATCGGCAGGTGTCGCTCTCGCCGTGGCCCGGCTGCACGGGGCGCAGCCATTGCTACAGGCGCAGGATTTAGTAATCGATATCGATCGATCGGTGAGGAAGGGGGCCCTGATTACTGAACCAAGCTCGGTGTAGAAAAGAAAAAAAAAATCGATGATTGCAGCTTTTAGAGCTACAGTAGGCACCGAGCAGAGAGACGGCCGTGCACAGGAGCAGAAATCCTGGTTCGGTGCCGGCTGCTGTGTGAGCTTGGTGCCCCACCACCACCACTAACGCACGCGCACAACGAACCGAAAAAAATTCTACATCTGACTGTGATTGACCAAAGACACAGCAGTGCCGTGTGATAGTTAGTAATATTCACATGTTGTTAATACATTATTGGACCACGTAAAAAATCAAATGTTGTTCCGATTAGTATGAATTAATGTCCCGTATATTTGGTTACAACTACATTTGGGTTTTTATCCTATTTTTATTTGTAAATTGTCAAATACTAGAGCGGATGATGAATCTTATAATTTTCTCTCCATCAATGATGAAACGTCTATCGGTCTGAGCTCATTTCTTTTCCACTGATGGCATTAATATTCCTCTCTTCACGACAAACCAAGCGAGGTTAAGAGAAAGGCCCTAGGTGTTCGATGTCGATCGATAGATTCGTGAATAATTCGTGTGTGAAATTCAGTTCGTCCAATTAATTATGCCTGAGAGAAGGCAGTGCATGGGCCGGGGGAGGGAGATTCATGGGAGGCCTGGGTGAGACAAACACAAAAGAAAAGGAGCGAGAGCCTGGTTTTTGTTGATGTTGTTTTGTTTTTTGTTTTTTTGTTTGTTTTTTTGGAGCAAATGTTTTTGGGTTTTTTTAAAACATGGCGGAAGAGGAAGGTGAGTAAAAGATCAAGCCATGTTTCCCCAGCCTTGGTCCAGCTGTCTGTCAGATATGGCCGCTTCATCTGTCCCCTGTCCACATCCACGGTGGGCATTAATCATGTATCGATCATCGCTGCCCTTCCTGCTCATGATGAGAAAACCAAATGCCTTTAATATCGCGGCTCTGCGGCTCATGATTACACATCTGCATCTGCATCCCCGCACCGTCCACCGCTGCTGCCGCGGCTCCTGAACTCTCCCCGGGTGTGGAGTCCAATCACAGCCTGTTCGAAGCAGCCGAGGTCAAAGTCTGTCGATGTAATTAATTTACCAATAAACATGTTTGCTGCTGGTTATAGTTCGGCGCCTTTGCGCACAGAGAGAGAGACACGCGGCGATCAGGGTTGTGGAAGGAAGTCTGGTCCTCTCTCGTGTGTGTGTGTGTGTGTCTGTGTGTGTAGAGCTGCAGTTGTAAAAGCCTCACGTTTACGTGTCACCTCTCTTTATTAAGTAACGTCTCTGTTGTTTCACATGGGCCGTTGCACCTGAAGATTGATAGCAGAGTGTATTTCCCTCTCTCTGTACACTGTGGCATTTATTCATTTATTCCATCCAGGCTGCAGGGCAGTGCCAAGCTCTCTCTCCCTCTCTCTCTCCCCCCCTCTCCCTCTCCCAGCTCAATATTCCTTAATGTAATGAGTGAGAATTGGTGTTAATATACTGATAAAGCGACACGGTTTGTTTGTTTGCCTTCTCCCGAGACTAAGCTGCGAGGCATTTCTTCTTCAGCACTTCAATAACACTCAACCTGCACCCGCTGACACCGCCGCCCACGTCACACCTTAATACACTCCTCCATCCATATGCACGTTTACTCATCGACAATCTGCATTATACGTACCAGTC